GTGGGAACCAGCTAAAGCCACCTGGGAGCTGTTTGGTGGGAACCAGCTAAAGCCACCTGGGAGCTGTTTGGTGGGAACCAGCTAAAGCCACCTGGGAGCTGTTTGGTGGCACAGGGGGTGGCTGAGGGTTTACAAGAGCTGGGTCAGTTTGGGGCAGGTCATGTAAGGAAAGATGGAAGCCACGGGAGAAAGTCCAGGAAAAAGAGAGATCCAGGAAAGAGTGGCGGGCAGTGGGGAGAGCTGGAGACCCAGGGAGACATGGGAACAGTGTCTGAAGGACTCCACAAGTCCCTGAGAGGAGGGGACAGCTGGGGGATCAGGCTCTGTGCCTAGGGAACAGGGGCAGGGCAAGGGAGAGCAGCCTCAAGTTGTACCAATGGTTCAGACTGAATACTGGGCAAATCCCTTCATGGAAAGGGCTGTCCAGCCCTGGCACAGCTGCTCAGAGATGCTGTGGCTGCCCCTGAATCCCTGGAAGAGTCCAAGGCCAGGCTGGATGGGGCTTGGAGCAACCTGGGATAATGAAATGTGTCCCTGGAATGGGATGAACTTTAAGGTCCTTCCCACCCAACCCACTCCAGAACTCAGTGGTTCAATCTGTGTGTGCAATTTGCGTCTATTAAAGGAATTGGAGCCATCCTGCAGGAGCACCCAGGAGTCTCCATCACCTTTTGCTGGGAGCTACAAAAATGCAGCGTGAAAATGCAGCTCTGGTGTCAGAGCTGAGAATCTCACATGGAGGCAAGAGACGGCAGATGGGACAATCTGGTGGGCTGAGGAGCACGGAGAAGCAGTGAGACAACACTGGCTGCCACGGCAGACAGGACCAGTCAAACTTGGTGGGGTTCTCTTGGAAAAGAGGAGATTTCGGGAAGGATTTGGGAGAAAATGCAGAGATTCTTTTTGCAGCTTCCAGACTCCAGCTGTGCATGACGATCCAGGTGTGGGGGAGAAGGGGATCTCTGAAGGTGTCTGTTGTCCTCAGACTGCTGAGTGTTGTACGTGGGATCAGTGGGAAGAGGAGAGGGCAGGAAAAAAGGAGCAGGGAGGGGGAGATGGAAGTGCTGCAAAGCGTAGTCAGAGGGGAAAAGCAGGATGGGGCAAAATGAGCAGAAGGGGTGGCCAAAGAGGCAAGAGTGAGGCACAGAGGAGCTGGCAGAGGGCAGTGGCTTTAGGGAGCCCAGCACCTGGGTCTGGGAGAGGGGACAGGGCTTTCCCTGCTGGCTTTGATCCCCCTTGGCTCTCAGCCATCCTCAGTCCCTCTCTGCTCACTGCCATCCTCAGGAGCTCGCTGGTGCCCTGCCCAGACAGCTGAGGAGCTCCGTGCTGGGACAGCCCTGCTGCCAGGCCCCGGCTGCATTCAGCGCATTTCCCAGGGATTCTCCTGTGGGAAGGCCTGGAGATCCCTCGTGGAGATCCCTCGTGGAGATCCCTCGTGGAGAGCCGGCGGCGTTTTGCTTCGAAATGCAGTGAATTTCAAAGGTGAGCTGAAAACCGCATCCGAACCCGTTTGTTTTTCTGATTTCCCCCCTGCTTGAGGAAGGCAGCGAATTGTTCTCCACAGCCAGGGGCAATCAGCAAAAGCAGCACGGACAAAGCCGGGGGAAGCCGGGGTGACACGGGGATGGGGAGGGGGCTGGGAAGCAGTGCCAGCAGAGGCTGTGGAGCCGTGGCTGCCCAGGCGTTCCGGGAGCAGGCTGCACAGACATCTGCCGGGGAAGGTCGGAGCTGAGCGGATTCTGCTGGCGGCAGGTGCTGCTCCATGCCAGCGACCTCTCGGGGTCCCTCCGGCCTCATGCTCAGTGATCCTGCTTTTCTTCCATCAGAAATGTCAGCTCTGCCCTTCCCTCCCTCTGCCCGAGCGTGCGGAGCAGCTTTATCAGCTCAGTCCTCACCATTTTTGCCGACATTTTTCAGTTGCTCCTTTCACCGGAGATACATTTGTTTATACGGATACAGGCAAGCAAAAAGTGAGATTTAAAATGGGAAAAAATAAACATCAATTTCCTCTATTTTTCTTGTATTTTCCAGTTGTATCAGTCTCCTGTGAAATCTTCCAGCACGAGGAATACCCCGAGGTGAGAATAACTCCATCCTGAAGATTTGGCCTCAGGCAAACAGTAGAAAGAGAAAGTAAAGGAGGGAAACGGGAACTGATGCTGCTCCGTGGTTTTGTTGGACTCTTTTAAAGGCAGCCGAGGTGTCCCAGCCATTTTATCGTGCCCTCAGGATCTAAATCCGTATTTATTTCCCTTGTCCCATCCTTTGTGCTTTGCCGCTGCAGCCCAACCCCAGCTATTCCATGATGTGCAGCAGAATGACAGAGCAGAGTTTGTGAATACCTGGAGGATTTGGTTTCACTGGCAGCACTTTTCCCAGCCCTGCCAAGACAAAGGAGAGGGGAAGGTCCAAAAGAGACAGGTTTTCCCTGATTTTTCCTAGAGGGAAGGCAGGAGGGCTGGAGGCACCGGGCCCAGCCCTGCCTGTCCCACCGGATCCGTGGCACAGGGAGGGACCTCTCGCCTGCCTTAGCAGCTCTTTTCAAACTCTGGCTCCCGCATTTCTGCAGAGAAATGCAGCACCTGGTTCAGCTCATCCATTATTCCTTCCAGCTGCTCTTTGCCGCGTCAGGGCGGGCATTGAGGAGGTGGGATTTATCCCGAACGTGTCCCATTCTTTTCTTCCCTGGCCATTGACTCTCCAACATCTGCTCCCGTTAACCCTCGCTGGCCCCACAGCTCTGGTGATCCTTTATGACTCCAGAGCACTCGGCATTGTGTCAGCAACAGCCGAGGTGTCCCGGGAGAAGAAAACCCTCCTTTTGCTGGGGTGGAGTGGGATTTGTGCACTAAAATCCATCCTGGATAGCTCAGCAGGAAGCAACAATCACAGGAGGTAAATCAAAGTGTTTTCTCCCTAAAAAATCATTTTCCACACACTCACATCATGAAACCTGGTGGGTTCAGCTCCCCTTCGCTGCCAGGCTCTTGGGAATCACCTCAAACACTGCAAGATTAATTGGTTTTATCTGTTCTGCAGTGGGGTTTTTTTCCTACTTTTGGGCATGAATTGCTTTTCACCCACTGCTCTGCCATAGGATCTTCACTGGAAGCAGCGTGGATACCTATGGATCCCATATGGCTCCTCTGGGAAGCAGCTCCATGATAAATACTGGAAATAGGCACGGAGCAGATGGGAGGGAAGGGGCACCAGTTTTAACAGCAAAATCCTCACTGCCTTCGCACGGTAACAAGTCCTGGGACGTGGGAAGGAATATATTAGGAAGGACGAGAGGTGTTTTGAGAGATGCAGCTGCACTTTGCATGCCGCTCTGGTCCCCTTCCCGCTGTGGGGAGAAGAAGAGAGGATTTTACCTTTCATTTACGAGGCATTTCGGGCTCTGCGGCTCCTGAGGAGCCGGGAGGGAAGTGCCACGGGGAGGGAAACGTGACAGCGCAGACAAAAGGAGCCCGGGCGGCGGCTGCGCTCGCACACAAACGCAGCCAGGTAGGGACACCTCCGGGGACACCTCCGGGGACACCTCCGGGAGCTGCCCCGGGCCCGGTGACCCCCGGGCCGGCGGAATGGGCTCTCACAAGCCCTGCGGTCCCGAGCCAGGACGGGGCCAGGCTGTCCCGGGAGGAACCCGGGCTGCGGCTCCCGCGCTGCCCGGCACCCGAGGGGCTCCGAAGGCTGCGAGGACAGAAGCCAAGCGATCCGGGCTGCTCAAAGAAGCTTTGAGCCCCAGCTTTTGCAGGACGGGAGGCACCGAGGGGAGGCGGAGGGGCAGCTCCTTCCAGCGAGCCGCGGCACCAGCGGGCTCCGGGGCACGGCGGAGACCCCGGGCCGGGCTGGAGAGCAGGATGGGGAATTTTGGACATCGGGAACAAGGGCAGAAGAACGGCCGCGGTGCCTCAGCCAAACCCTCTCACCGCCCGTCTTCCCCACAGGATCATTCCGTGCGAAGGCGAGGGGACACCGAGGGAACAGCTCTCGTGTTCCCACCGCTCTCTTCCCAGGAATCTGCAGCCCGGGGGCTTCCCCAGGTGGCCACAGCCCTGCTTTGCCCAGGCGTGTCCCCTTCTCCCGCGGTCCCCGGTGCCAGCCCCACGGAGTCCCTCAGCAGCGCTGCTCCGAGGGCTGGACCCGGCAGCGCCTCCGCCCCTGCTCCCGTGCCCTCATCCCATCGAGGGATGCCCCCTAATGCTCACAGCGCGGCATCCCGGCCTCCGGCCTCCTCTCGGCACACCCCGGGCTGCAGAGCCTGCTCTCCAGCCCCCTAGCACATCCCTGGCCTGGTTCCAGAGCCTGCTCTCCGGCCTCCTCTCGGCACATCCCGGGCTGCAGAGCCTGCTCTCCAGCCCCCCTGGCACATCCCTGGCTCCAGAACCTGCTCTCCAGTCTCCTGGCACAGCCCTGGCTCCTGAACCTGCTCTCCAGCCCCCTGGCACATCCTGGGCTGCAAAGCCTGCTCTCCAGCCCCCCTGGCACATCCCTGGCTCCTGAACCTGCTCTCCAGCCCCCTGGCACATCCCTGGCTCCAGAACCTGCTCTCCAGTCTCCTGGCACAGTTATGGGATGGGGATCCAGCCCCACAAATTAATGATGGGATATAGCTCCAGCCCTGTTAATGATGCTGGGCTGAGGATCCAGTCCCATGAATTAATGATGGGATGTAGCTCCAGCCCTGTTAATTATGATGGGATGAGGATCCAGTCCCATTTAGCACTTTAATTAACCACAAGGGTGAGGAACCAGCCGCTTTAATTGACGGTGGGACACGGGCCCACCCCCGTTAATTGCCGATCCAGCCCCGCTAATTACCGATCCAGCCCCATTAATTAGCGACCCACCCCCGTTAATTGCCGATCCAGCCCCGCTAATTACCGATCCAGCCCCAATAATTAGCGACCCAGCCCCGTTAATTGCCCGCGCACGCGGGTCCGGCCCCACCCCGCCAGCAGGGGGAGCCACCCGCCCGGCGCATGCGCAGCCCCGCGGCGCTTCCCGCCCTGCGCGGCCCCTCAGCGCCGCCCGCCATGTTCGCGGAGCTGAACGAGCTGCTCGGGGCCTCCCCGGAGCGCCCGGACGCGGTGAGAGGGCGCTGAGAGAGGGCGGGAGGGACGGGCCGGGACCGCCGGGAGCGGCGGGACACACTGGGAGGGGCACGGCCTCCGCAGACGGAGGCGGCGGCTGCGGCCGGTCCCAGAGCTGAGCCGCCTTCGGCCCTTCCGCCTCCCGTTCCCGCTCCCCGCCGCCCCTCAGGGCTCTGGTTCCAGCATCCGCCGCTGAGAAGCGGCCGAGCTCTGTTCCCGCGGTGTGTCCGTGCTGCCGTGCGGGGAATAAACACAGAACTGGGCGTTAAACCCGCTGGCGGGCACTGCTCCGGACCGGCGAGCTGTTCTAGAGATACTTGTCATTTAGGGCACTAAATTAATTAATGTAGCTTTTCCAGGGAGGTTTTGTGCTAATTAAGTCACGCAGGAACTAAACACCCTCGCTCTGTGTGAGAGGTGTGCAGGTAAAATGTCAGTCATGGAGTCCCAGAGTGGTTTGGGCTGGAAGGAGCCTCAAAGCTCACCCAGTCCCACCTCCTGTCCTGTGCAGGGACACCTCCCACTGTCCCAGGAGCTCCAAGCCCCGTCCAGCCTGGCCTGGGGCACTTCAGGGATGCAGGGGCAGCCACAGCTGCTCTGGGAATTCTGTTTCAGGGCCTCAGCATCCTCACAGGAACAATTCCTAATTCCCAGTACCCCATCCATCCCTGCCCTCTGGCAGTGGGAGCCATTCCCTGTGTCCTGTCCCTCCATCCTTGTCCCCAGTCCCTCTCCAGCTCTCCTGGAGCCCCTTCAGGCCCTGGCAGGGCTCTGAGCTCTCCCTGGAGCCTTCTCCTCTCCAGGGGAACATTCCCAGCTCTCCCAGCCTGGAGCAGCTCATCTGTTTTCTGTCCATGTTTCCATCCATCCCCCAGCCTTTGCTGATTCTGGGGGTTGTCCTGACCCAGGTGCAGCACCTTGCACTTGGCCTTGTTGAGCCCTGTGAGGCTCCCATGGACCCACTCCATCAGCATCTCCAGGTCCCTCTGGATGCCCCATCCTTTCCCCTGGCATGTGACCACACCACCAGTTCGGTGTCATCAGTAATTATTAATAAATTATCCACGTGCTGCATGTCACTCCATGTTTTTCCTGACAGTTACGAGCTTAGATAATAAAGCAAGTTTGGGGTGATAATTTATTTTAAGTCTGAGTTTCCCCCTTTGTCTCCAGTTTCCCCCCTTGCTGTACTACCAGCTTGTGATGGGAATAGGGGAGGTTTCTCCTTGATCTGGAAGGTGCTTCTGAGGTCATTCCTTGTCAGGCAGGATGGAGTGGGGCAGCGCTGGTCTGATGGGGAGACAGTACTGAGAGGAATTTGGGATGGTGCCCTTGGGGCTCAGAGCAGATCAGGTGGAGGTGTTGGCTGAGGCTGGGTGGTAGTAAAGGATAGTGTGAGTGTGCAAAGTCCCAAAGCCCTGTGGTTGGTGTTGGGTTTTTAATGCACGTGAAACACTGAGGGAGGAGAGCTTGGTGGAGTTTGTGCTCTGAGGTGTGTTTGGTGGTGGAGCTGTGGGATGAGCGGGAATGTGGGCACCCACGAGCTTGGTTCTGAGACAAGGAGCTCACCTTGATGTGAGCAGGAAATTCCACAGAGCAAAAACGCAAGATTTGGCCTCAGGATCCTGGGTTTGGGCTTGGCAGCCAGGGCAGGAGCTGGCCAAGGCTTTGTCTGTGTGAGGAATTCCCTTGGGCTGAGCTGTCCCTTCCCATCCCAGCACACGCTGCGGGTTCTGCTCTGTCCGGGTGTGACACCAGGGTGGCTGCCTGCCCCGCGAGCCGTGTTCCCAGTGCTGGAGTGGGGAATGGCTTCCTGCAATACTCGGTATTAAATCTGCTTTAGTCTGGTGTAAGTGATGAGTGTGTGTGTGTGCGGGTCCCCTCAGTGCACAGGCAGTCCCTGCCGTGTGCTGGGATACCCAGCCCCAGTCCCGCTGCGTAACAGGATCAGCCCTCTGCAGGCCTCACCTTCCCGCTGCCGATTTCCACAGCTCCACGGCTGGGCCCTGCCGCTTCCCGAGCTGACAGGAGCTGTCCCCGCAGGGCTGCTGCGTGCAGGGAGCTGCTGCCGCTGTGGCTGTGGGTGTGCCTGCTGTGTCACCGTGGGCTTGTGACACCCACTGCGGCCCCGCCGAGGGATTTTGGCAGTTCCTGACAAGTAGCTGCAGCTTCTGCTTCAGCCTGCAGGTGTTGAGAGCGTGAGGGCAGAGCATGGACAGAAAGGGCTGGGGTTCACGGAGAAGATGCTAGAGGAAGGCTTTGCCTTTGGAATGATGCCATGTGCTCAGAGTGACAAACCCCACCGTGCAGCACAGCCTGGCAGGGAGGGCACAGGGAGCACTCGGCCTGCTCTTCCCGGGGCTCTGGTGGGGAAGAGGGCAGCTGGAGAGGGTGGAGGTGCAGAAGATAAACCCCTGGATAAACCCCTGGGTTTGTGCTGTTTGAGCACAGATCTACTCCAGGCTCATCCACAGAGGGCACGTCTTGGGGCGGTGTCCCTGTCACTGCAGTGGCCATTGAGGCATAACCCTTTTTTGGGGGAAGAGCTCTCACTCCAGCTTAGGGAGAGCAGCTTCCCTGCCCTGGCCTCTGCTCTGCATTCCCTGCAGTCATGTTCAATATTTGCTGTTCCATTCGCTCCGCTTTAGGCTCTAGGCACCGGGGAGTTTGTTCTGATGGATGGCTTGGGAATTGCCTGTGTGGAGATGGCTTGTTGCTGCGAAAGGCTTTTTCTGTTCCTGGGAGTAGAAAAACCTCCCACTTTGATAAGTTCTTTGTGTTTCCAAGCAGCTCATCTATGATTTGTATTGATTAAAGAAACATCCTGACTAAGATTTTAATGGAAACAAACACCTTGATGAGGCTGCGGCTGATAATGAGTGTGCACTAATGAACAGAATTAATTTCCTGCCTGATCAAAACAAGGTTTATACCTTGTGCTGAGAGCTCTGCTGCGCTACAGAATTTTGGTGATAAGGTTTTCTACCCCAAAGATGGCACACTGGAAGTAAACCTGGAAGGGAGGACAGGGAGGGCTGTTTGGGCACAGGAGGAGCAGCAGCTCCAGGGTGCTGACATTTGAAACACGCTGGCAACGCTGGCTGTGGCAGGGGGAGAATGGGCTGGCAATGGAGTGAGTGAGTGGCTGTTTTTCCCCTGCCATTTGGAGAAGAAAGATGCCTGTGAATTGGAGGAGAGGAGCCAAAGCTGGGAGCTGGAAACTGCCCAGAACCCCCTTGATGGTGCCAGCACCAGAGGCTCTGGCGGTGGCAGCACTGGGAGCACCGTGCTGCATTTCTGTTGCCAGGGGAGGGCGTGGCACCTGCTGGGCACAGACGTGGGGGTCCAGCTGGCTCACAGCTGAGCACAAGGGTTTTTAGCTGGTGGACGTGGTGATGCTGGGCATGTGGGACATGGTTCAGTGGTGAGCTTGGCAGTGCTGGGCTAATGGTTGAGCTGGGTTAATGGTTGGACGTGATGGGCTCACAGGGCTTTTCCAGCCTCAGCGATGCTGTGGTTCAGATGCCTCCCCGTGGGCTGTGTCCAGAGGAAATGTTGGCTTCCCTTTGTAAACAGGCAGCTGGAGCTCTGCTTGTCCACTTCTTCCTCTGAGTAGCACCTGCAGAATTCCTGCAGCTTGAGCCTACATCTTGTCTACCAAGAGCAGTTTGTGCCCTCACCTTACTCTGTTATTTTGCTTCTTCTTTTCCAGGGTAAATTCACCCTGCTGCGAGACACCCAGACAGATGGCAGCTTCCTGGTGCACCACTTCCTCTCCTTCTACCTCAGAGGTGGGTCAGCAGCAGCACTCTCTGAGGCAGGGGCACCTCGGAGGTTCCCTCAGGGTTGCTCCATGAGCAGAGGGCAGTTCTGCAGAGTGTGAGTTATCCTCAGATAAACACAAAGCTTTGGGGGTAGGATTTATGGGTCCTAGTCCTGACTTGTTCTTGGGACTCCTCTGTATCCTTGGGTACATCCCATAATTCTGCATCTTGTTTCATCATGGATTGTGGCAATGGTTGTAAATCACACAGGCTCTGACAGGGAGGTGTTCACTGCAATTCTCTCACTGCTTCCATTTTTATGATGTAATTACACATATCAGGACCAATTAATAACAGATAAGCTCAGAGTGAGTCAAGAAACAAACAGAGCCTGGCAAGACCTCTAATTGCTTTTCTGGGAGCAGTTTCTCCTGTGAGTAACCTCCTGGCCCCTGCAGAGCAGGCGCTCGACTCAGGGACTGCTCCAGCTTTCTGCTGGCACAGCCACCAGCCCAGCAGCTCTGGTACTGTCACACCTGAAAGGGAGCTCAGAGTGCTGGGCAGGGCATGGGATGAGGACACTGTGGCCCCAGAACTGCCACTGCCTCAACTGGGGCTTCACCCTGCTTTGAAATATTTTGTACTTAATGGAACAGAGGGAAACTGAAGGAAATCCCATGGAAGGTGGGTTGGTAACAGTGGGAATGGTTCAAAGAGACCTGCCAGATACTGCCTCGGGCTCTGCTGATGTCCTGCCCCACAGCAGCAGTGCCCTGGGGATTGGTGCTGCCCCACAGCAGCAGTGCCCTGGGGATTGGTGCTGCCCCAGAGCAGCAGTGCCCTGGGGATTGGTGCTGCCCCACAGCAGCAGTGCCCTGGGAGTCGCTGTCCAGAGCTGCCTGTGTGCCTGGGAAAAGCCTTCCATCCCTGGTGGGTGGGCAGCCCTGTGGGATATTAACGTGTCTCAGGACCGGTGAGCTGGCTGTCACCTGCCCCTCTCCAGCCCAGGACCTGGGTGCAGTTATTCCCTGTTTGCAGCACCCCCTTGGTGCCCAAAACCTTTGGGAGATCCAAAGGTTCATCTGGGGCCACTGACTTGTTCTACTTGAAATCCACGTCCAACAAACACTGATTATGTTCATACCCAAACTGTGTTCCAAAATCACTTTTTATTTAGGCGTCTGACACAATTCCCTGTTCTGTGTTTTTCCAGTCAAGGTCACTTGCCCTGTGAGAGCCAAAATGGGAATTTTTGGCCTGTCTGTAGTTTCAGTAGTTCAGTGTCACAGCTGGCCCTTGGCCTCCTTACTGTCACACCAGCAAACAGGGTCAGGAGGTCCCCAGGCTGGCCTGGCATGAGGCAGAAAAGTGGCCTTACACTTTTTGAAGTCATCTTTTTCCTTTTTCCCCTCTCTTTTTAAACGTATTCACTAATGTGGTTATCCCCTAGAAGGGTGAAAATTGAAAGCAAAGGAGGGTTTGTCTAGACCTGTATCACTTCAAGGTCCTTCCAGACAGATCTGTGGCCTGGCTGCTGTGATTTATGAGCTTTGGTAATGTCAGCTGCAAAGTGGAACTGCTAATGTGTGCTTTTGTCCCTCCCCAGCTGGCTGCAAGGTTTGCTTTGTGGCCCTGCTCCAGTCCTTCAGCCACTACAGCATCGTGGCACAGAAACTGGTGAGTCTCTTGGCACAGGTTCATTATTATGGATCCAGGTAGTTTGTGGGTGGGAGGGAATGGGAATGGGGAATAAGAACCGTGTGTGAGCAAATGTTTCCAGGTCTGATGGGGACAGTCAGGATTGGTGCCCCTGTGATGGGGATAAAGAGCACTTTTGGGCAGAAACCTGGCTGCAAGGTGCCCCATGGGCTTTGCCCTGCCAAGAGCTGAACAGCTGCTTGCTTTGTGCTTAGAAGTGTTAGCTGGGGATCACTGTTCCCCAGACAGGCACAGACTGGTAGATGGAGGTTCCTTAATCCCCTGGAGAGGAAAATGCTGTGGTGTCAGTGTTGCCAGGACCCCTGCACCCCTGCAGAAGCTCCTGAGGTTCCTCTTGGGATGGAGGGCTGTTCACAAGGACACCTGTGTGCCTCGCCTGGCCTCTGGGCTGAGCCATCCCTTCGAGCTCTGTGAGGAGCCACAGGTAAATTCCTAGGGATTTGCTTCCCATGCTGAGTTGGACAAGGATTATGTGTGCTCTGAAATGAGGAAACAGAGACAAAGCAGGCAGGGTAATTCTGCATGTCAGCATATTGTCTGAGCTCCAAACTGCTTCACTCAGCTCTTTGTACAACACTCCAAGGTGAAATGCTCCAGGTGGGAAGTGCAGGTGACCTTCCAGGGCTGAAGGGGTGAGGGCTTGCACTGCTCCTCCCTCTGGTTCTGCTGTGAATCCCAGCAGCACTGCTGCTGATCAAGAGTCCCAGGTGCTGAGGCACCAGGTATTGTATTCCCCACTGTAAACATGGTGCTGCTAAACAACTTGTATTTTATTTACTGCTCAGTTTTTACCTTTTGAAAGGAGATAGCGGCCCGGGGTACACAGCAAACACGGTGTTCCCCCACGGAGCTGTAACTCAAGGTGTGATTCCCCTGCACAGCCGATCCTCCTGGCTGAGCAAACCTCCCCCCACGAGCACAGAGCTGTCCTGGCCTTTGTGGTGCAGAGAGGAGGAAACCGTGGAGGGAGCTTGCAGAGTGGGGCAGGAAATGGGGCACAGCAGCCGGTGTGGGGAGGAAATCCAGCTCTTAAATACGGGATTCTTGCCTGTTCCTCAAGTCAGGGTGTTTCCTAATGCCGAGATTTCCCGAAGTGCACTTAATGGGAGCTGCTGACATCTCCCTGGCTGGGAGCTGAGGAGGGAGAGAACAGGAGGATTAGCTGGAGCACACGTGCGATGCAAATGGGGGCGATTTGCTGTCTGATAGACGAACAAAAGGTGGCTGCCACAAAGGAGGTGATAAGCACGGCTCAGAGAAGCGCTGAGCTGCTTTCAGCTCTGAGTCACTCTTGCCTTGCAGCTTCATAGGTGCCCCTGTGGTCCTTGCTGTGAATTCCTCCCAAGCTCTGAGGAGCTGGAGGTCGCAACATCAGTTATTTATATCCAAGCTTCCATCACATCTTCTCTTTGCTTTAATCCTTCTTTGCAGAGATGAACACGTCAGGCTCAGGAAAGGTGGTTCTTGGCTGGGTAGTTTCACTCAAAGTTGGTTAAGAACTCGCTGCTGTAGATCTTTACTGGAGAGCAGTAATGGTGTGGCCATAGGCCCAGGGCAGTGCCCATGCCCTGTGCTGGCACTGCTGAGGTGCCTCCAGTCCTGGGGGCAGTTTTTGCAGTCCCCAGGTACAGGACAGAGTGAGTCCAGGAAACGGAGATGGGGAAGGGGCTGGAGCCCCAGGAGCGGCTGAGAGAGCTGGGAAAGGGGCTCAGTCTGGAGAAAAGGAGGCTCAGGGTGGACTTTGTGGCTCTGCACAGCTCCTGCCAGGAGGGGACAGCCGGGGGGGGGGGTCGGGCTCTGCTCCAGGGAACAGGGACCTCAAGGGTTGCCAGGGGAGGTTTAGGCTGGATATTGGGAAATATCCTGCTCCCCAGGGCAGTGCTGGAGTCCCCATCGGTGAAGAGATTTAAGAACCCTGTGGATGTGGCACTTGGGGACATGGGTTGGTGGTGGCCTTGGCAGTGCTGGGGGAATGGCTGGGCTGGATGGGCTCAGGGGACTTTTCCAGCCTCAGTGATTCTGTGACTGTGATTATGCCCTTGGAAGAGCTTCAGAACTGAGCAGTGCCCCAGTTTCTGTTGGGAGCAGGGTAGTCCCAGCCCCAGGAGGAGGCTCCTGGAGTCAGGGTAGATTGTACAGTGACACTTGTAACACTGGTGTGTGGTGATAAAGTGAATATTTATACACAGCTGAGGTGATGCTTCCAGGGACTTGCTGCTTTCCCAGTGTGCCAGGTTATACAAGTCCCAAACCACTTCCTTATGTGTTAGCTAAATGCAGGGATGTATCTTTACTTGCAGGAAAACCTTCCTGGCTTTTTTTGTGCCTGTGTTCTCTTTCCCCGAGGACCCACACTTCATTTTAAGGCAGTGTCAATGTTATTGGCCCTGACCTTGCAGAGAACATGCAGGGCTATGTCAGGCCAAGCAGCAGCAGGGCACCCTGCCAGGTTGGTGTTCCCACCCTCACTTGTACAAAGTTTGTTTTGTTTTACAGGAAAACCAGATTTGTCCCCATTTGATGCCCATCTCCTGTCCCCTGCTCCGAGCTCACAGCTTGGAGGACGTGGTGTGGCCTGATCACTGACGGCCACACTTTGTCCCACAGCTGTGTTTGCTGATGAGCTCATTCCCCCTGCTTTGCACTCTCCATTCCTTCTGTCCCTCCGCTATTTTGCTTTCCCCTATGGAATGGCCAGCATGGGTGGCAGCTCTGCTTTGAGGGGCTGTCCCTGCTGGCAGCCCGGGGGGCACCACTCTGCAGCAGCTCCCCAGAGGGACAGGAGCAGCTGAACTGCTGCTGCAGGAGCATTCCTGGGCTGGGTCGATGGCTGACAGCGTGCCAGAGATAATGTCCTGTGCTCCAGGGTAATGGAGCTGGATGCTGGCTCATAGCGAAAGCTTTCAGGCTGTTTGGGTGCTGGGCACTGCCGTGGCTCTGCTCTGGGGATATCAGTGCTGTCTGTGCACTCAGGAAGGTGCCACTGGCCATTTTGAGCACTTATCCCACTTTTGCAAGCTGTCTGATGTGTCCTGTGCTTCCAGAGGTCACACTGGGTGGGCTGCCAGCAGGGAGACAGGCAGAGGTTCGCTGTGGCAGGTGACTGCAGTGGGTGAGTTCGGGTCTCTCTGGGACCTGTTCCCCTGCTGGAAAACGAAGCTGGACTTGCTGGCTCCATGGCATGGCACTGAGGGGGATGAATTCTTGGTGTGACACACAGTCACCCTGTCCCTGGCTGCTGTGGCCCTTCTCTGTCACCCAGACAGGCCCTGGTGTCACAGCACTGTGTTCCTTCTGAAGGGGGGGACACTTTTCTTGCAGATCTGAGGTGCAGACAGTTTGTGTGTGCAGGAAGAAACGGCTGAAGCAAAGGTAAAATCAGTTGCTGAGTTATTGATATTAATAGTGAATTTAGTCACAGCAGCTCAGCAAGTTCCCAGCCCTATGGACTGCAGAAATCCCTGAGGGATTGAGGTTTGTGAGGCTGCTGTGCAGCCCAGCCCTTCTTTATGGCATGGCAGGTATTTATTTGCTGGCTGTTCCCTGCTCCTCACCTGCCACATAGAGGTGGTTCTGTCCTTGGCTAGGAAGTTTTCCATCGTGTGTGCTCAGAATTGCACAATAATGCTGCTATTTCTGAAGCTGTTACTGAGGGGTAGTGCCCAAAAAGATCTATTGCCTTGTAGGGGGAGTCTGAAGAGGGGTAAGCATTCAGGCATACGTTCCTTCCCAGCTGAGTAGAAGGAAAACAGAGGAAGCATTCTTCATAGGCTGCAGGATTCCCAGGGTTGGGAGTCCAGGCAGCTTCCATTGAAAATTAGGGAGCAGATGCCAGCAGATGGGAGTTCAGTCAGGCCTCAGATTATTCTTAATATCCGTGTTACAAAGTTGATAGTGCTGCAAAATTGAGCCTGGGAAGATAGTAATGCAGTAGTTTGGGTTGGAAGACACCTGAAAAGGTCACCTAGTCCAATCCTCCAGGAAATAATTGTACTGCACACGATCATGGAATCATTGAGGTTGGAAAGCCCTCAAGGATCATTGCGTCCACCTGTCCTCTAGCACTGCCAAGGCCACCCACTAACCCAACTGCCACATCCATAAGTCTTTTAAATCCCCCCAGGGATGGTGACTCCTCCACTGCCCTGGGCAGCCCCTTCCAGTACCTGACCACCCTTTTGAGAATAAACTGGAGAGCGAGAAGGTCCCCTCTGAGCCTCCTCTTGTCCAGGCTGAAGGAGCTTGTCCTCCCCAGCTCCTTCAGCCCTTGACAGGCCTTGGAGCAGCCTAGTCCAGTGGAAGGTGTCCCTGCAGAGGGGTGGAACTGGATGACCTTTAAACATCCCTCCAACCCAAACCTTTCTAGAATTCTGTGATCTCCACCTGGAGTCTTCTCCATGTCTGCTGCAGCTGTGGGATGTCTCCCTTGGAGCTGGACATTCCCAGCACATGGCTCTCGATTGCCCTCACCACCAGGCAGGGCTGTGAGCCAGCTGAGTTTGAGTCTGAGTGGCAGCCCCAGGCGTTTGTCGTGGTCCTCCTCCTCCTCCAGGTGGAGTCAGGGCTGCTTCCCGTGGGAGCCCTGGCTGTTCTCTCCAGGTGTTGTGCAAGTGTCGGGATGCCAAGCCCACGGCGCTCTCCGGATCCAGGCCGTGCCAGGCTCAGCTGCGTGGGATGTGCCAGGAGCCCTCATTGCCACAGCCGTGATCTGGAGATAGTGAAAAACAAAAGCTTTCACCTCCCAGGGAGGGAGGTGAAGGAATTGCTCAAAGCAGGCTCTTGGAGAAGCCTGGGTCATTCTATCCCTGCATGTGCACACCAAGCTGGCTTCCCAGAAGGAATTCCAGGACGTTTGAGCCCCCAAATCACAGTGTGTTTTTGTTATCTCCTGGCAAAGTACAGAAGAGTCAATATACCACCAGTGGCTGTAACAGAAGTGCCCATTTCATCCCTGAAGCACTGACTTTATCAGCACATTTAGATAAGATTTGATTCAAATAAGAATGAAAATTTGGCTGTTGACCCACGTGTCTCTGTGTGCACCATTTTCCATAAGTGTTCACTCTGAAACCTAATGTTTTCCTCTCTCGAGGGAGTCAGTCTGGCAGCTGCCAAGGAGCGGGGACAGCTTGTCTTCTTGGAGGGCCTCAAGTCCTGCCTTGACCTCCTGTTTGGGGAGAAGGAGCAGCCAGGACAGCCCAGTCCTCTGCAGTTTCTGAGGTGAGCCTGAGCATGGAGTGTTCCCCCTCACGTCTGCTGCCACCAAGGGCACCACCCAAGGTCCAGGACTGGCTCCTGCTGCCCTTTGCACTCCCCTCCAGGGCCAAGGACTCAGCTGGTCACCAAGTGAAGGGAAGCACCAGCATTGTGCACATCCCCCTAGGTGTCCTGGCCTGTCCCTCACTGCTGCTCAGGGGGGCATCCTGTCCCTCTTTCCAGAATTTTAAGGGAACTTCCACCCCCATCCTCATTGCTAAGCATGTCACAGGTCTAGAGCAACATTTACTTCAGCATTCCACAGGTTTGTGTCAAATGAAACCCCAGCCAAGTGGTTTTATTCCCTTCTTTCATTAATTTGAGTTTTATTCTTATCCCAGAGAGTAGTGCTGCTTTATCCATGCTGGCTTTTGGATTTATTCTCATGTCATTTTCACCATGTTCCCTGGGAATCTCAGCAAAGGCCAAACACTTCCCCAGCAGTGTCCAGCCATATTGGACTGGGCTTGGAGCAACCTGGGGTAGTGGAAGGTGTCTGTGCCATGTCAGAGAGGTGGCACTGGATGGCCTTTGAGTTTCCTTCCCACCCAAACCATTCCACGATCCCCGGAGCAGGGCAGGAGGGTTTCACCACACGCAGGTATAAAGGAGCAGGGGCTGAAGGGCAGTGAGGAGGTGGCTGTCACAGCAGTGGGGACAGCAGGGAGGGGACAGGCTGGTGATGCCCACTCTGGGTCAGTGGGTGAGGAGGGGAACGCGCAGTGCCAAGCCCCTGACGCCTCGTTCATGTCTTCCAGCGGGAGCGCCTGTGAGCTGCGGGCCTTGTTTGACTTTGTCCGGGTGTCCCTGAGTGCCGCTGGCGGTGATTCCTGGAAAGGCCCCGTGCTGCTGGTGGATGACCTCAGTGTCCTGCTGAGCCTGGGGGCTGCCCCGGTGGCCGTGCTGGACTTCATCCACTACTGCCGTGTGTGGGTGTGCTGCCAGCTGAAGGTACTGCTCCCCCGGGCCCTGCCTGTGCACAGAGCCTCCAGAGCAAAGCCTGCCTTCATTTGCTCTTTCCATATCACCATGCTGAGGTTTTTGAAAGGCTGTGGCTTTCCAAGGAGTTCAGATCATTGCTCTGGGGCCACTCTTGGGAGTTGTGTGGGTCCCTGAGTACCTGTTCAGGCTCCTGTTCAGCTGGATTCCTGCGAGATGCTGCCCAGAGAAGGGTTCTGTGTGTCTCTGATGTATGAACAGGGATTTGAGGTGTAAAATGGTGGTTTTTGGAGCTCCTGGCTCTGGAAAGATCCTGACTCACACCCCTGTGTGGGAGGGCAGGGGTGGAAACGGGTCATGTGAGGGGCTGGTGAGTCTCACAGGGGACAGAAATGAGGGGCCCCTTCGGGGGCACACCAGCCCCTACTCCCACCACCCTCCAGTGTGGCTGGTCCCCAAGGTGGGGTGGTGATCTACAGAGATCTCCCAGCGATGTGGGGACTCCTGAAAGAACCACAGCCAGAAGTGCTCACAGTCACATCCAAGCTCTGCCATCACAGGCAGTGTCCCCTCCCTGGGCACTTCCCTGCAGGAGTGAGGAATGAGCCAGTGCTGTTGGGTGCTGTCACCCTGCACTTCACACGGCGCGGGGTGTTGGGCTGTATGTGCTGACAGGGGATGATCTGCTTGCAGAGAATATTTACCTCCAAAGAGCTAAAAAAGATGATAAACCACGCTAACACTTTGCTATTTCTGTCTGAGGTGTTCTGAAGCCTTAAAGTACATTTTAATTGATTGAGAATTCATGTTATTTTCAGTCACTGGTGACTTGCATGGGCTGAGGCAGAGTCTCTTGAGATGGATGTTAATAGTCGGTGTGTTGGGGAGGTGTTTGCTCCCTGTCAGAGCTGTGAGGGTGTGAGCACTGCTGCAGCCCTTTGGCCACCTCTTTATTTACTTGCTCTGAATTCAGTCGGTGCCATCTGCCCAGCCTGACAGACTGGTTGAGCCACTGTCTCCTCACAGAGGCTGGAGGTATTTTTAGATTGCACCTTACATATATATGTGTGTGTACACAGTGTACAGTGAGCTCTTCAGTGTTTGTATGTCACAGAATGGCCTGTGTTGGAAGGCACCGTAAAGATCATGTGTGCTGTGGGCAGGGACACCTCTGGTTTGTGCCCAGAGCTGGAGGCAGCTCTGCAGGGGGGTCTCACCTGGGTGGGGCAGAGGGGCAGAAGCCCCTTGCTCTGCTGCCCACACTGGGGATCAGCAGGGTACGGGGGGATTCTGGCTGGGCCATGTCCAGCCTCTCCATTAGCAGCTGCTGGTTATTTTCCCAGTGGAATTCAGACCAAGCTGGAGCTTAGATGGGGTGTTTGTGAAAACTCCTGTTGCCACCCTCCCATCCTTCCCCTAAAGGATTAGGCCCAGCCAGGGGCTCATCCCTGCCTGCTGCTCCCGTTCCAGGGGAACATCGTGGTGCTGGTTCACAGCAGCGAGGATTCGGAAGATGAGGAGAATGAGCTGGTTGTGAACTCCCTGTGTCATCACAGCGACCTCATCCTGTGGGCAGAGGGGCTGGCCACTGGCTTCTGCAAGGATGTTCACGGGCAGGTGAGGCACAGCAGAGCGTGGACGGGTGGCACGTGTCCCTGCCACCTCCAACACTGCAGGCCCCGGGGTTGTGGGAGACAGCCCAGGCTGCAGTGTGGTTAAGGAGTAATCCCGTGGGCACCAGGATCTGCTGGAGCACCCAGCTGTCACTGCTTCTGCGGGGATGTTCAGGGACATCCTGTCATCTAGGACTCCCCACCTCTGGAAGCTTTCCAGGGTTTATACAGCAGCTGCAGTGCAGGCTTCTCCCACCCCGGGGTGGGGGAAACCTTTGCTGGGAACTTTCCTCAAATGGTGCATCTGAGCCTGGCCTGTGGTGATCTCTGCAGGGCTGCGAGGGTGCTGACACTTGTGTGATCCCTCATCAGGGGCTGCCACAAAGGCACAGGGACAGGCAGCTCCTGATGGATTATTTATCAGTGCCCCCCCTTCCCTGCAGGGCAGCCACAGGCACTGGGGCCAAGGCTGCTCTGGGCAGCCAGAGGGACAATGTTCCTTTTCCTTTCCCTTTGCAGATTAAGATAATCAAGAGATTGTCCTTGCGGCAGGCGGCGGAGCAGGATGTGGTCCAGATCTACCAGTACAAGATCCAGGACAGGAACGTCACCTTTTTCGCACGGGGGCTGTCGGCTGCAGTCCTGTGACACTGTGACAGTGCAGAGCCTGGGAGTGTCAGTCCCTGCTTCTGCAAAAGCACCACCAGCACCTCTCAGGAGCAGCACAGCAAACTGACCCGGGAGGGAAGCTCAGACACACCTGGAAGTGGTGCCAACGTGGGATCAGCCTGCCTGGGGCCTGCTGCATGCCCTGGTCCTCCCACCCCGTTCCCAACACACTCAGGCCAAGAAAGGGAGCAAGAACTTGCAAGAATGGCCCTTGGAGCATGTAAATACAGGCAGGGGGTGCCCTGCGGGCTGGGTGTGCCTTGCCTCGCCTCTTCCGGTGTGGGGCACAGCATGGCAGTGCCAGGCACTGCACAGAGGGAGCACCCTTCCCTCCCGCTGGCACAGGAGGAGATGACACACAGCGGGTGGAGCAGGGATGGTCCGGGAGCCTGGCGCAATCCCCTCCTTGCTCCCAGCTCTGGCTGGCAGAGGTTTGCCCAACTCCCAGCTTCCATGCAGTTGGCAAATGCACAGCTCTGTGGATAGCCCTCACCTGGCTGTGCTGAGACCTGGGCACTGCCACGCTTTGTCCCCTGCGGCTTCCCAAGCTCATCCTGGGCTTTGTGGTTGGATAAACCCCTCTGGGAGCCTGCCTCAGCCACTGCTTCCTCATCCCAATCCCTGACTAGCTGTTACACGACCTGCCTGTGTGAAGCAGGATTTTTATTAATAATCCGTAATTCCAGTGAGATAAGGGTACAGTGATTAAGTAAGCCCAGATCTCTGGGTGGGAACTGCTCCCCACCTGCTCCTTGGCAGGGAACAGGAAGGGGCATCTCCCAAGCCTGGATGAGGACAGGGCCTTTCCCATGGCTGCAGGGGCAGTCCTGGGAGCAGAGCTCAGGCCTGGAGGTCTCCTGGTAGCTGCTCCTGCTGGGGTATCCCATTTATCCTGGGAGATGAAAGCGTCCCACGCACTTGTGAGAGTCCAGAGCAATCTTCCAGGTCCTTGCAGCTCCAGAGCTGGGATAGCAGCTCTGGCAGTGGGACACATTCCTGATTTTCCACACAGACTCGGTGACCCATCCCATGCTGTTTTGGGAACGTGCCTTTGCCTTAGAGTTTTGGGAGCCCTGGCAAGCTCAGGGCTGTGGCTGCTGATCAGTGGCAGCCCAGGGAAGCCAGGCAGGCTCCAGGGATTGTGGCAAAGCCACAAGGAGGGAGGGGAGTCAGGCCATGTGTGTGCTGCAGGATCACCGGTCCCTGGTGTCCCCTGGGTCTGGCTGTGCTCTGCTGTGGAAGTGGCAGTGCTCAGTGCCACTGCTGCTGTCCCAGTGTGCTGGCAGTGCCCAGGGTCAATGCACTGTCACAGTCTGCAGAGGGAGGAGGAGAGGACCAGGAGCTGCTGGCACTGCAGCAGCCTGAAGTGCATCTGTGACTGGCACAGAATGGTGAATGATTGGAGTAATGGCTGTATGATTATCCTTGGAGAGATCCCAAAGCCTGGCTCCCAGGCTCTGCCTCCCTCTTGAAACCGGCAGGTTCATTGTGTGACATCATTGCTGTGTGACATCACTGCTGCCTTCTGCCTGCTTCTTTCTGCCCTTAAGCCGTGCCTGTATCCCAGAAATGGGCTGAGGAGCCTCGGCCTGACCCTCCATGTCCCCCTGCAGGGGGTGTTCCCAGGATCCCGGCCCTTTGGGATGAGCTGCTCTGCCCGCACGGTGCAGTGGTGCTTGGACAGGGCCATGAGACCTGGGGGCTGCTGAGCCACGGCCCAAACCCAGCACTCCCAGCAGCCCAGCCCAGTGTCCAGCAGTGGCCTTGGCCACCAGGACACCGTGGAGCAGCTGTGCAGGGCCAAGGCCACCGGCATGGCCGTGCTCCAGCCCAGGCCTCGCTCTGGAGCTGACGCTGCGGGAGGGCAGCCGGAGAGTGGATGTCAGGAATGGTGCCATCGGTGGCAGGACAGGACAGCCTTGCCCGGGGTCAGCCACCAGCTGCGTGCTCAGGGCCGCTGCCACGGCGGTGTTTGTGTGCCAGCCAGAGCTTGGGCAACGCTGAGAACTTGGCTGGGACTTGGCCCGAGGGCTCAGCTCTCCGTTCCCTTGGGCTCGGAGGGAGCTGCAGCAGGGAAGGTCCCCCCAAGGCTGGGGCTGTGGGACAGGGGCGCGGGGCCCCGGGAGAGGGGGATGTGTTATACTGGGAAAACTGCAGGCAGCAGGGACTCTCGCTAAGTGTCAGAGTCGGCAGCTGCAGGAAGGGCCCTGGAAAGGCGCTTCTGGGGGCGCTCAGCCCCCGGAGATGAAGGAGCAGGCAATGTGTTCTGTAGCGTGCCGGCACTGTGCTGGCAGGAGAGCCGGGGCATTGCTGGGGGAGAAGGGAGGAAAGATGCCTTGGCCTCTGGGCACTGCTTGCCCCTTCTCGTGCCCAGTGCCCCCAGTGCCTGGCCCACTTCTGTTCCCGGGAATCAGAGTCACCTCTGTCCCCGGCACCGAGCCAGGGCTCCCGGTGCAAGGCACTCCCGATGTGCTCTGCCCCGCGATGCTGCAGGGCTCCTCATGCCAAATCCCCCCCATCAACTCCTCCTGTCCCTCCGGGGATATTCGGGACTGCCAGCGCCTGACCGGCACATTCCCGCCGTGCCCGGGTGCACGGGCCGGCTCCACTCTCCCCCGAACCCCAGCGCGGCCGGTGCCCGGTTCTGCAGGCCCGCTCCCGGTCCCGCTGCCGGCGGCGCCGCAGCCGCCCCGTCCCGCTCCACGTGCTCCCGCCGCCTCCGCGCCGCTTCCGGGGGCGTGGCCGGCCAAAGGAGGGGGTGTGAACCGGGGCGTGATTATGCAAATAAAGGCGTATATCGCGCCGTGTGGGCGTGGCCATGCAAATAAAGCCTATATTGGGAGATAACCTCTCCCGTGAGGGCGTGGTCGCACGGGTGTGGGCGTGGTCACGCTGACGGCGGGGGGTGTGGCCGGCGTGCGGCGCTGCGCGCGCGCGGTCGGGGCCCGGCGGCAGCAGGCTCACTGAGCCCTCCGGAACCAGACAGGTGTGCTGCCCTCGGTTTTAGGGAAAGGATTCCAGGGATGGGATGTGTAAAGGGAACCGTGGGATAGGCAGTGGAATACTCCGTGGGTTTGTGCAGGTTCCCTGAGCACTTCAGAACCAGACGGGTTTCCTGCTCTGGGTTTTAGGGAAAGGATTCCAGGGATGGAGTAGGTAAAGGGAACCGTGGGGTAGGCAGTGGAATACTCCGTGGGTTTGTGCAGGCTCACTGAGCCCTCCAGAACCAGAGGGCTTTGCTGCCCTGGGCCTCTGGGACCTGGTGCTGTGCTCGCTGCAGTTATCTCGCCCCCTGAAACATGAACTTTGGGATTTGGTCAAAATTTAGGACTCGACTTCCTCGTGTGAGTCAGAATGAACATCTTTACATTATCTTTAATCCAACGATTAAAGCGAGGAGCTTTTGCAATGCTGAGGCAGCTGTGGGGCTGTGTTTGGGAGAATCCCGAGGAAAGAACTCCGGAAAGATTTTGGCCTTGGTGCCAGAATTTCCTGAATGCAGCATCCACGTGTTGTTCCGGGTTGTTGAAAGGCAAACCAAGTTTCTTTTCATTCAAGAGGCAGAGATGAGGCGTGAGCTCCCTCTCTGTGAAACCAGAGCTGTGAGGGCAGGACTAGGGTGGTAAATTTGGGATTACACGAGCTGTTGTGTAATGCAGAAAGGAGATTAGCTGGCTGGGACTGGGAAGAGAGGAAAACACCCCGGGATGTTCCCTGAACGTGTGACACAGCTCCGTGTTTCCAGGTACAGCTTGGCATGGCTTATTTTTCCAATCATGATTTAAATATAGCATCCCAAAAGAGTCCTGAACAATCAGGGTTTGTCTCAGGAGCATTAAAATAGTATTTTAAGTGTCAGAATCCTATGATGAATGAATTAGTCAAGCTCTCACTGAGTTACTCAACACTGTTTTCAGTCAGGGGGTTGCTGGGCCTGTCTGGCGTCAGAGCTTGGATCATTATGCACCAAAAACTCCCCTTTTTTCCCCTCTCTGATGAGAATTTAAAAAGTAGAACAGGTACAGCTGGAGGAACAAAAATAGCATTACCTGCCTGCAGTGGAATGTAGTCAGTGAGGAGCAGCATCAGAGCCCTTCCAGCAGCTCCTGGGAATCCTTTCCAGGCCAGGGAGCTGCAGGCACCCCCCTTTCCTTCCTCCCCTTTCCCAGGAGGCTCTCCAGGAGCTCTGGGGCAGGGGGGCACGGTCCCTGTGCCGGGCAGCTTGGCACACGGGGCTCGTGGAACTGGAAGGAGGTGTGGAAGCAGCTTTCCTCGCCTCTAATATCTGTGATTATAATTCCTTTGAATCCCCTTCTCCCCTTTGTGCAGTGCATTAAAGGGTGAGAAAGAAAAGCTGAAGGAACTGGGCAGTTCTGTGGTGGTGCAGCTGCTGTTCCCACATCTGGGGGTGTTACTGCTCACATCCAAGGTACCCAGGACAGGGAGGAGCAGGGAATTGAGGGTGGCTGTCTTGGAGGGAATCTTTTCATTCATGTCCTCAGGTGAAAACCCAGCCCCAAAGGCTCAGAACAGCCTTGGCCTTTTGGCATAACTGGGAAAAAGTAAAGTTCTCCTCCCAGGAAAAGAGTGAATTCAGCTGGAGTGAGAGCGTGGTGGGCAGTGGAGAGGGGAGCAGGATTGCAGTTCTTAAATCTGAATTAATCTTGTATGGAGCATTGTGATGAAGGAATAATAGTTGGTTTGTTTACAAAGGACAATGTCCCAGTCAGACTTCGGGACTTGCTGCCTCACAGAGGAGTTTTGGGATTGTTTCTCCATCTGGAAGAAAGAGTGCAGTGATTTCCTGAGCCTGGCTTCCTAGCTGGTGATGATTAGAAAGGAAAACGTTTAGTTGTGTGTGCTGCTGGGGATGCTCAGTGTCCCTGCTCGGGGCTGGCAGCCCTGGCAGCTGGTGTGCTCAGCCCTGCCCTGCTGTGACCCAGAACCTGAGGAAAACCAATGCCGGGCAGGTGTGTCACCTTACAGGGGCTGTGTCCCTCTGGGGGCCCTCTGCAAGCCCCAGAGATGTGGCAGTGCAGACTCCTGAGCCATGGAGACTGTCCTGAGCACAGCTTTGGGGTTATTGCTGAGGGAGCCGTGCAGGGCAGTGCATGCTCAGGGTCATGTGTACATTTTTGCTTTTTATTTCATGGATAAATGGTCAGAACTGTGGGGTTTGTCTCCCTTTGTCACCCTGCACATCCTGCCTGTGAGGGGATCCCTGGCAATGCCATGACTGACCCCAGAGCTTCCAGAGTTCCAGAGTCAGGGTGGGAACACGGCTGAGGCTCTGGCTGGGTCTCTGTGGAAATGGGAGCGTGTTCCCCAGGGAGCCAAGGGCACGCTGCTGCTTTCCTGCCAAATCCACGGGTCGTGGAAACCCCTCACTTAACAGGAGCCCAACTGGTGCTGCCCCCCAGGCCTCCCTCTGAAACGGGAACACTCTTGGTTTACGTTTCCACAAGGTGTTTTTCAGGGAAATGATAGAGCTCAAGGGATAACCTGTGTTTGCCCGAGCTCTAGTTCCAGTAAGTCAGGAAACCCCTGCCAGTGGTAGCTGGCCCTTGCTGCAGGGTGGTTCGTGGTGCCCTGATGATATTTCTGGGGGGCTTTTGGAGGGGGTTTCTTCTAGGAGGCAAA